ATCCTTAAACCGGGTCTCATGGAGATCCCGTCGCTATGCATAGCCACAGTTATGTATGATGATCAACTCTGAAAACGGCGGGTAGTTATGGAAACCCTAAGCAACGGGCACCTTGTCGGGATGGGAACTCATCCTTCACAGTTTATACGGCATCTACAGATCGAGGTCTGGGTTATTTATATTTTGGCTCAATTTATCTGCAGCAGGTGGCTATAGTTGTTTGCATTTTATTAAGTCAGACTATTAAGGAGCACTGAAATTCAGCACATCACAAGATTTAATTATTCCTTTCAGAAGTCCCGATACATGTCATAATGTGCAGTCCAAAATTAACGGCACAAATAAAGACAGCGGTATGTTCTACGGCACTTGGATAGCTTTGATCCGATTCTGGATGATGTTTGGTGAGCTCGTGGTTGGCTTAGTGGCGACCTGTGATTGACTCGATTATTTCAATGCTAACGAGTTGCATTGTTTGCTTACAATTGAGAGCAACTTATACGGTGACCGACCGGCTTGGAAAAGTACTGTAACGCGAGATGAGATTTCAAGCTATTCATGGTGACGGACAACTAAGGTGGCAAGCTTGCGGTAGCATCATGCAAGGATACGATCTCCTTTGTGAGTCTGTATGGTTCTGAAAAGAACCGTGAGGAACTCCGTGAGGAACTTCACAGTTCTTTTCAGAACCATACAGACTCACAAAAGAGATGGTATCCTTGCATGGTGCTACCGCAAGCTTTCCACCTTATTGTAACGCGGTCATGCAGCTTAGTAAATCCACGCTTTAGCTGAAAATATGGAGGCTTCGATGCACGTCTTACCGCAAACGTGAACGCTTGCGTCAAATGCATGTTATAGATGCGCGTCCCGCGCAAAATGTATATCTTTCAATGAACGCTTGAATAAAAAACAAATGAATCTAGTAAATCCCTCAAAAGAAGTGCAATCGGTCAATATACATCCAAGCACGAAAAAAAATCTCAGTTTCATAACCTTTGCACTTTTCAAAAATGTCCATTTCATATCGCCGAATGTTCTATACATAATTCTAAACCTTCCGAAAAAAGTTGCGGTTTTCCACGTTTGGATCCAACGTGAACTTCCCATGTTTCACGTATTGGGCGTCCGTGCAAACTACAAAGCAATGACGCCAGCAAGAGTCCTACCTTTTTTCGCGTTCGCGTAGAACGTGCAACTAAACCTCTCCATTATGTATAACCAAAAGTACATAAATTTGATTGAATTAGAGTTCCGTGGTTATTCATTCCCCCACACTCTGCTCTGCCATTCCGTTTAAATTACAAAGCCTTTTATCATGAAATGATGAAGATCGACGCGCTACAGAAGCCAACGTCAATCATCCAGACGCCAAGTGAATAGACTATGGGACCTGTCTCCGACGTCAGTGAATCCAGGAAAAGTTAATTTGCAGCATCAATGACAAGCGAGAGTATACAATGTGGACGCAGAAAGCGATTCCCCTGCACGTTTTGACGTTGTTTCTTCAGGTTTTACCTTTATTTATGGATCTCCGGCTATTTTTCCAGATTACATACTGCATAATTACATTTTTACTTACAGCCACCACAAAATTTGGAGCTCAAGTTCATAGGCCTATTTGGAAAGTGACATCAAACTCTGCTCAAAATAACTGAATTATTTCAGTATATTTCTGTCAAAGTACATGTATTCAATTCCCTACAGTAATCATGACAACTGAACCGAATTATGAGACCACTTGAAGCACACAGTTTATTACAAGACATTGGCTCTAGAGATAGAACAATGAAAACACAATGCCTACTCTATGCTGTCTTTGTCCTGTTTGGTTTTGCATTTAAAGCAGTATCTACATATACATGCATTATCAATCATCCTTCTCAGACATTAGTTCACTTGGTGTCTCCAGTGAATGAAATAAATTGAACTAAACTGAACTGAAAAGTGGTCAGATTTTAGAAAAACATTGTCCATCTTATCAACGCCATCTCCAAATGCCCTTTTCCACAATCAGCTAATTCACAGCATAACTTCCCTGCCAATGCCAAGACTTTCGGTAATTTTGATGATCAGGGATTAAACTGCTTCAAATGTTACACATGAGCATGTATATACATGTACATGTCCAATGCATGTACATGTCCAATAAATGTACATGTCCAATACATGCACATGTCCAATACATGCACATGTCCAATACATGTATACATGTATGTCCAATACATGTACATGTCCAATACATGTACATGCACATGTCCAATACATGTATACATGTATGTCCAATACATGTACATGTCCAATACATGTACATGTCCAATACATGTACATGTCCAATACATGTATGCTTTGCAACTGCTTAAAAAGTTGAATACTGCAATATATCACAATCCATTAGTGTTTAGCACTAATTTAAATATCAGTACAAAACAAGTTCATTGGAGAATCATGGCCTTCGGCATGAGGTTTGTAACATTCAAACACCACTGTTAAATGTTTTACCATGTTTACTGATAGATCACAACATTATGGCACCCTTCTTCATGAGCTGCCACATTCTGTTTCATTATCACAGCAGAGTGTTATTCCCACTTGTACATGTACACAGACATGAATGTAGGATCAGTGATTAACCCTCCTTTTGCTGAAGTCACTCTTTGGGTCAGTTGGTAAACAGCTCAAAGATGCACAGCTGGGTCATGTTGTGCACTGCACCAACAGTCCCTCACGGGGAATATCGGATTGCACTTTTGTGCTGCCCAACAACTGTGCCTCACTGTTTCATGTGCATAATTGTGCAGT